TGCCGAAAGTAGAAATAGGCAGCAGAGTAAATATAATACTTGGAAACACAGTTTCCCTCAAAAGGTTTGAATTAAAAGTAAGATACACACATTAAAGGGGTTAATTCCTTTCCCTCTACACAATTTTTCGAAATGTAATTTTCCTGCTTTAAAAATGTTGTCCCTGTAGGTACAATGCAAAGTGACAAAACAAAGTGCCTTATCTTAATACACAAATACAATGAAATTCTTTCCTTCTTGAAATTGTTACAGTCCGAGGCAGAAGTCTTTTCTGAAACGCACATGAGGAGCAACAGTTTAACAGGAAGAAACTTATCAAGCAATCCAATTCTTCCACTTAAACCTTATTCATCCACAGTATCAGTCTGCAGCCTCACAATTCAAACCACTTGGCTCACAGTGAGACTCTGGAGCATAAGAATAGCTGCTTTCTGTTACTCTCTATCAGGACATCATCCACTATCTAACAATGTGTGTACGCTATGAGGAAAGCGTTATGGTACTGCAGGCATATCGCTGCCACTCCACTTCAGAGCTTGAAAGACTTTTCCCATGGGCAATTCTGCACCATCATTCCCTACTTCTCATTCAGACATGTGCACTGCCCTGCGTAAATATATACGGGAGACAGCTTCCAGGAAAATGAACAATGCTGAGCACGCTTACTTTGTCATTTTAGGTACATGTTATCAGTCCAGATCTTTTTTCTTTTACCTGCAAAGAATTAGCTGACAAATGAACTGACATATTGTCTTCTAACAAAGACTAGATTAGTAGGTTTTTAAGTATATGAAATTCTCTGTCATTCTTAAGAGTAGCTTCTGGGGAAGAAAAGTGGGAGAAGAGAGAAAAAAAGCATAACTCTCTGTTGCTCTAGTGCTAACATAGTTATTCAAATCCATACAAAGTAAATGCAAAATGTCTACTTCAATCTGTCAACAATTCAAGTGGACTACACATCTGTACCAATGCCTGTGCCAATAAAGTAACATTGAGTAGGTCTCAAGTTGCATCCAAAGGCAGCTTTTTACTAGGAGGTAATTATTCAAACATAATGTTACTTCTGCTGTTCTTACAATGGTAGAAAGAGCCGTACTCTTTCAGTGGAATTTCAGAAAAGTGCTGATTCGAGAAGGTCACACTTATTTTTAGTACAAATTCCTTTTTCAGCAAATACTCAGCTCTGGTTGGGCTCCTGGGAGTGGTGCAAATGTTCTCACTTGCAACTGTGCTGAAACTACTTTCTAATCAAAAGTGCTTGTCAACGCAGTGTCTGATGAAGCATGAGTAGCTAGACAGTGATGCTGAGTGAGTACAGGCACTGTCTCCAAATAAAAGTTTTGCAAACATCTATGGAGAGATCTTCAGTCAATGTGGAACACTGCAGTTCAATCTGGCCTACATTAAGCCATACTGGTTGAGAGAGAACTGGCTCTGAGAACTCCAGTTCTCTCTGTTCAAAACGTGATTACTGCTCCTGTTGAAGGAAGCTAGTGGTGACAAGAAGAGTGAGTTTTGGTGGTGTTCTTTTACTAGCAAATATGCTAATAAAATACAGCCCTGCAAATGTTTAAGAACATCTTATATAATCTATGTCTAATGCAATGACTTGTAGCCATTGAGTTGTGGAGTAGATCAGATTTCTTCCAAGCTTCAAAAAACCCCCAACTAATCTGCTTCTTGCATGACTAAGACCACTGCAAATATAACTTCATGCAAGATACTTTGGTGCTCTGATTCTTCTTTCTGAAGTTGATAATTTTAAACACCTGCATAAGACAACTTGTTCTGGTTACTTCTGTGTTCCCTCCTCTTTGTCATATTATATTAAGTATAAATAAACCTCCTGATTTCTTAATGTATATAGAAATCAAAGTTTTGCCTTCCTAGACAGAGTAAGTTTTTCTGTTTGTACACTGGAGCCCAAAGGTGAACCACCTCTAAGTAGGATGTTTGGATACTAGTACAATACAGTTGCTATTACTATTATATTTACTCACTCAATGCCTATGTACACATATAAATACACATATCCATATTCACATACACATATCCCCCCCCCGCCCCCCCCTAGATGCTTGACATGGGGGCATTTAATTTTGTAAATATCATGCTGCTGGCATGAAGGAGTTTCTGAAGCTAAGGAAGTAACTATCATTCCAAATCAAGGAGAAAAGTCTGATTTTTCTGTGCCAAGTGCCCTCCACTGCGGCTATCCATGGCTATCTAAACCAATAAGAAGCCACCATGACGAGCTCTGCTTTTTGCTGTCTGAAATTTTTAGCATTTAGTGAGCTAATCTAGCATCTAGTCTGGGTAAAAATGCATATAGAACAGCTGCTGGGCTAAGGAAATGATTACATGGCTGCTGCCATGTTATTGTATCTACAGTTTGTAAGTTCCAGAAAGGTTATATAAATCACATGAAAAATCCTAAACAGAAGAGCTAACTTCCTGGTAAACTCTATAAAACTGTAAGGCCAGATTTGATCTTGAGAACACATTAAACAGCAACAGCAATGACTGTGTAGACACATCTATAAATAACTATTGAAAGTTTTTTTGTTAGAAAACCTCCCATTTTGTTGCCTTGGCCTCACTGTCGTTCAGCTAAGCCCAGTGTAACTTCAAGTAAAATCAAAGTATGAAACCATGTCAGAATTTTCCCATGGCACAGTAAGCCTGCTCAGTAATGGGTAGATCTTGTTATATTCATTTATTACAAACCTTCTTTATACCATGATGGGTTGTGTTCATACACGACAGCTGCGCTTCGATCCACAAATTATTAAGCTTAATGTGAGAATTACCAAAGAAAATGCAATGGTCTGTGTTATGCATGAAGCAAGACCAGAAAACCTAATGGCCATAAAAAACCATGACTGTCTTAAACAAATTCTTTTGTTTCTACAAACATGTAGAAATAACTCACTCTTCAGAAGACAGTAAGTCTAGTAAGAAGGAACAGCATTTAACCAGTGAGGAAACTAAAAACCGAAGCCGGATGAATTTGAACTACTGCATAAGAAAAAATGCATGACCAGAAAAAGTAGCAGCCTCTGTGAACTGACCCTGGAAATACTCAGCAAATAGCCCTTCCCATCACAATCAGCATTTCTTAACCTCGGAAAAACAAAAGGACCATAAAAAAGCAGGGAAGATGATTTGAGTTGCATAACCAGAGGTAACAAAAAGATTTGAGATTCTCCTGCGGTAAGAGCTTTAAAGACATGCAGAATCAGAA